GAACTTTCAGCGTATCAGCATTTTATTTGCTGTTGATTTATGCAATGCTCCCGCCCCCACCTCCGCCACCCCATCGAGCACCCTCCCGGGTGTCCCCAGCTCAGCGCACTGTGCTCACTCAAACAATCGCTGCCGGCAGCGCTGTTGAATATTTGCCAAGTATGCTGATTGAATTTTTTCCAGTTGACTAAATGATATCAAGGATATTTGCCAAAGCAGCGCTCTGTGCCGCCTCCAGAGCGGCGTCTATTTTAAAGGCATGCTGAGCCGCTTCAGTTGAGCTTTAGTTACGGCTCAAAATGCTCTGATTAAATAGAGAAGGCCGGCTGCATTGGCTGGAACATTGAGCTGTGGAACGTTGAGCTGTGTGTCTGTATTTAAGTGCTCTTCTATGCAATTTTCAAGAATTCAAGAATATTTTGGTATTGATCTGTCGTCTGTTTGTGTTTAGAGTCTCCCTTTCTCCGTCTCTTTTTCTCTGGCAGCATATCAACCTTTTTAAGTTCATACCTTTTCCAGTCACTCTTTGTCTGTATCCTGTTAAAACATATTCTCGCACTCTCTTGTGATATATCTCTCTCAATTCAACTGTCTTTTGCTTTGTCTCTCTGGGAAATCTTTCGCTTTTCATTATCTTCCTCGTGATCTTAGCTTGCTCTTAATCTCACATTTGCCATCTCATATCTTTTCTATCTGTTTCTCTCTCTCTCTCTATTTCCCTTTCTCTCCCTCTCGCTCTTCAGTTTATCAGTCTCCTTTTACTTCATTCATTAATACACCCTCTCTCATACGCTACTACTACCACAACTAGTTCGCTCTCACTGCCTCCCTCTCTCTGTGACTCTTACTCTCTCTCACACTGTTTCCCTCACTCTCTCTCTCTCTCTCCCCTCACACTGTTTCCCTCACTCTCTCTCTCTCTCTCTCTCTCTTTCTCTATCTATGAAAGACATTGATTTCATTTCTTCTCTCTCTCTATTTCTCTCTGTTTCTTTCACTCTATATATCTCTCTCTCCTTCTCTCGCTTTCATGATCTACAGCTCCTTTCATTAACTTTTCATACCTCCGCCTTATGCCTGAATTTGCCTTCTCTGTCTCTCTCTCTCTCTTTCTCGCTCACTTGCTCTATTCATCTGCTCTCGCTAACGCCTCTCTTTGTGGTTTTTAAAACTTCAAATCTAAATGGAGCTATACTCATATATGAGGTACATATAAAATATTAAGGTCAGGTATTTTGATATGTGCTGCGCTTAATGACAATAATCATGAAATAGCTTCGCTCACACTAAGAGGAATATATTGACACATATATGGAAGTTGATTGATATCAATATGCAAGCGTGTCAATTGACAGATACTTGACTTGACTTGACTTGACTTGACGTGGCATATGCGCCACATGTGGAGAACTGCAATTAAATTGCAATTTGCTGCTCATTCAGCCACATACGAAGCAAACTGCAAAGCTAAGCATTATCCTGGCTGCCATCCTTGCAGTTTGTCGTTGCTGCCGATGATACGGACCGAGGCAGGCCAGGGCTTGGCATGAGAGTATTATCAATTTCCAATATTTAGACAGGCAACTAGCAATAATCACGTTTGCTCAGCGTCAGCCAAGCAGCATATGAACTATGTGAGTGAGTGTCCTGCCATCGCCGAGTCCTGTCGAGCGACGCGTGGGCGTAATTAACACTTGACGCCCGTGCAGCAAATCGAGCGGTTTAAACTGCACAAATGTTGCTACGAAGCAGCAACGAGTGCATTAATTAATATGCCCAACATGCAGCAGGCACTGCTCCGGCTCCTGCCACTCGTCCTGGCTACGTTGGGGTTGCCATAAAAGGCGTTAAATTGACACAATTGAACACACCCTTGAGATTTGTGTGCGAGAGGCATTCTCTCTGCCTCTCCCTCTCCCTCACTCCCACTTGTTGTTGCTGCTGCTGTTCATCGAGTGCGTTTAATCGGAAATGCTAACATCTTCATCGATGGCGCATTACGGCGACAACTGCGATAAAAACTGTGAACAACTTGCCTAAAATCGCGCAGCCAGCCAATTGACAGTTATCTGGCGTTCCACTCCCCCTCCGCCCGGTCCCTTGCCTGCTCTGAGCCAACTCTGTTTGGGCCATGCAAATATGCGTATGCGTAACAATTGATATTTTGGGCAAATACTCGCATGTGAGCCGCACCGAACGTGACGTGCTTAATGGAGGAGGAGGGTCACAGCGCCACATGAGTGGCTCCAAGTGGATGCCCGAAGAGCTCTTGAGTTTCATGTATTTATATAATATGTAATAATATTTGAATTTGATTAATTGTGTAGAGTGTCTAGATTCAAGTAAGAAAAACTTGGGAAATTTGGAAGAGATGAGCATATAACCTGAGCTATAATATTGGCTGTATTATTATAGATATATATATAGATATATACTTACTCAACATATTCAAGTCTTCTACTAAAAAATTATACAAATTATATATAAGGCTTCAGATATTAGAAATTCTGAGAATTAATAAAGTTCTTGTATCTCACTTAACAACTGCTATAGCCTCTACCAACCAGTCCATGCGCCCAATCGGATGATCAGCTTAAATCTAAAGTAATTTAGCTCGTGGCATTGTTTTGCAGTCGGAGTGCTACTCGGTTTTATGCTGGCCATCAAAACTGTTTCAATTGCTGCCTCTGAGCAAGCGACTGTCAAAACAGGCAAACAAATTGTGCAAATAAGTCGAGCGAATGTTATTTATGCGCAGACAATTTCTCAGTGATTAAATAACGAGAGACAGGGAGAAAGAGACAGAGAGAGGGAGAGAGATACAGAAATCGAATCGATTCGCGATCGAATTACAAATAGTAAAATGACATGAAAGACTAGATGTAGATCTATATATATATGTATATATAGATCGGGAATCGGCTGGCTGGTTTAATGGCCTGGAGGTGTGCATGCCAATTGTCATGCGCTGAAATGCTTGTTAACAACAGCGATTGCTTTTGCCTTTCCAGCTCCCACTCGTCGTCGTCTCTCTGGTTGCTTTTTAATCAAAGCTGGAGCAGCAGCTACTCCTGCTGCCGGACTGGTGTGCAGTGTGGAGTGGAGTTGAGTGGAGTACTGCTCCTCCCCCGTGGCAATAACGCCACACATTTGTAATGTTGCTTCTGTTTTCTGCAGTTCCAGTTTCAGTTCCAGTTGAAATCGCGCTTAGAAGCATTTTACAAGTTACTTTAAGGCAATCAATTTGCGGCCCAAGCAGCTGGGGCCCCAAAAGGTGCAGGCAGGTGGCTAAGCAGGGGAAAAAACCAATCAAAAGAGCGTTGCGAACGCAAATTGAACGCCAAATGGCTGCAAGATGATATTTCAATACGTGCAACAGCAGCAGAAGCAGCAGCAGCAGCTCAGTCTCTTGGCTCTGGCCCAAGTCCAGGCTCAACTCGAAGGGGCCATAAATTATGTGAACGGGCGACGCCTGCGCGTAGTTGCTTACTTTTTTGCAGTTATGATTATCGCGCTTCCAGCTTCCACAGAGAGCGAGCGAGTGTTTATGGAGCGAGAGGTAGAGGGAGCGGGAGCAGAAGCTGCAGCCGTTGTTGTGTGCAAACAAATGTAAAAAATTTTTAATTGACTTTTGGATTTGCGCCACCGCGCCAACAGTTGCAGCAGCACTTCTTTTTATGGCCACTCGCGTGCATGCAGCTTAAAAGTTAATAAAACACGCCCAATGATAACAAGACGCAAACCAGAGAGAGAGACAAACAGACAACCATCCAGCCATCGAGCCAACATATTTTGCCCCTGAGGTCTTCATCATCGGCATCATGATGAGGTTGGAAACATTGTGATCCTTGGCCAGCTCGTAGAAAAACAATCAATTAAGCGCGCAAGTAGCTGACACAGAAGGAGCGCCAGTTGCCAGTTGCAAGTTGCCAGTGGCACGACTCCAACTCCAACTCCAATGCCAATATGAATCCAATACGAATCCAATCCGACTCTCTGATTCGCATTGCCTTGCGCAGTGGCCAACGGCGGCGATTGGCGTTTTATGGCCTGTTTTGGTAAAATTTATGTTACATTTTTATAGTTCAGTGTAAATTGACTTTTAAAATGTAAAATTTATCATAGCAAACGGGCCGTTGCGGTGCACCAAACGCTTTTTAATTGCTTTATTTTCTCATAGGCCGCCGCACGCACATCTGGCAACGCTGCCAGCGACAAAAAAGCTTCCATCCAAAAAGCTCACGTGATAAACATCTGCGTGTTTTCAAGCACACCAAAAAAACAGCCCTTGAAGTGCTGTAATGCTTTCTAGGGTAGTCAAAGAAGGCTTTTTGTTAGATTTTTTGAAAAAAACAAACAAAAATATTTCTATTAAATATAGAATTTATATAGTACAATGCTTAACTAAAGTAGTTACAGTTGTCTAAAAAATCAAGTAGCTCTAGGTGCCCCTCCCTGTTAGAGCCTACAGCTGTGTCGGGAAAACAAACAACTGTTAAAAGCTTTTCAAGAATCATAACAGACCTTGGTGCCATTTTCTTGTGCGGCACCGCAAGAGCTTTTATCAAGTTTAGGGCACGAAATATCTAGCGTGCATGTGTTAATAACGCGCCCCAAACTACCCCAACCCTTCTGAAGCTTCTTCCATTTGGATGACGAAACACAGTCGCGAGTCGCAAGCAGCAGCAGCAGCTAAAGTTAAGAGTCGCTAAGGGAAAAAATCCATAAATTGATTGTGCCACGGTGTAAACAATAGAAATTAACTCAAGGAAATACTCTGGAAAATCATGCTGCTGCCCACGATGCGAACGGGTGTCAAGTGGAGTTGGCGCCAGACCTGGGACATGCTGATGTCGCCCGTCTCCCCGCGCAATCTGCGCACCACAGCGCTGCTGACGAGCATCTACCAGCTGGTAAGCTTAGAGATAAACGCCAACACTCTACTCCTTTGTCTCCTCTCCCTCTCTCTCTTTCACTCTTATATAATGCATTTAATAATGTGGGGCACAGCGTACGGACTGCCGGCACGCAGAGAACTCCGCTATCCGGCCGTCCCAAACGTACAGCTACCTATGCCCCTAACACAAAAATTACGCACTGGATATGCAAAGCCATACCCCACTATGCGCGTTTGCACCCATCGAAGACGGCAATTCGACGCGCGCCCCCGCCCACGAAGAGCGTAGGAATGGGCAAACGGCACAATGCGTCCGCACTGTTTCTCGTAAAATACGGAAAGCGCCAAAGACGAGCACCCTTTTTAATAACCCAACTCCGAAAATGAGCTGCATATAGCTACGCTTAATGCTAAAACCGGTTGAGAATTTTTGGCGCATTCGCTTTGCTGACACATTCGATTCGCAGTAAATAGAAATTTGGCAACACTGCAAAGATCAACAGAGTTGACTACGACTGCAATCCTTTTGAAAGCATTTAAATGCCGTTATCATTTGACACTCCAGCCTCGTTCCGTCTCTGTTCTACTCTAGTGCTTGCTCAGTCGGTCTATTTATAGCACTTGCATATCGTTAATTTACTTACTCTCCTCCTCTACTTCTCTTTCCAGCTCATTGCGCACTCGATATTATTTGTTGTGCTTCTCTGTCTGGCGCATGCGGAGCAAATGCGTAATCTGCTCGACATGGATATATTGGATCAGAAGGATAGCGGATTCTACAGCATTCACAACGATATGCGCTTGAAGACGGCTGCTCAACTGGCGGATGCTACCGAAAATGCACTCTATGTACTATCCGGCATTGCCAGCGTTTATGCTTTGAGTGCCATAGCCCTATTCTTTGGCGTGTTCAAGAATAAGCCCGGCCTGATAATACCCTGGCTGGTAATTGAATTTCTGGGCGCCATTGCAGTGGCTGTCATTATATTCATGCTGAAGGATACGAAGTTGCCCATGCTATTTGGCGGACAGTGCGCCTATTGTAAGTAAATTAGATAAACTTTAACTTTCCGATTTCTGAGCTAATATTCGTTCCCATTCTAGTAATCATCTGCTATACTATGCTCTTGATGGATGGTCTTAAGTGGTACATCATGCATAGCTTCTATCAGAGTCTACGCACAATGAACAAACTGCGAGAGATCGCAACTGTGGCTATACCCTGTCCAGCCCCAGGCGCTGTGAGTTTACACTACAAATGTATTCCCCATAAAAAAAAGCTAATCAACTTACCTTTTAGGTACCCTATCAGTTCCGCAGAGAGCATATGTATTTGGGCAGCAATGGCTATAAGCATATATTGACTGAGTCGCCGGATGGACAGTGTTAAATAGCTTTGACTTAACAAACGAAAAAAGAAACTTCGACTATATACGAAAAATTCATACACTCCTACCCCTTCCCATACCACCAGCATCAAAACTTCCAGCATCAAGTGTCTTAAATAATTTTTGCAATCTCATTATTTTTTCTTCGTTTGAGCGTTTTTTGGAACGTGTGTGATATGGTATAAAGAAACAGAGATAACTATTTTAGATAGCGAGTGCAACGAGAAGGATATTTAAATAGAAACATATATATACGACATATATATTCTTATGGCAATATATACACATGCATACGTACATTATTCAAACACTAGCAATATATATTACCGTATGCTAGATACACACGGAAACTATTTTCAATGTAGTGCTTGAAAAATCTCACTTTAATCTTTAAACTACTCCGTTTAGTAGCTGTAAACAATATTAATTAATTTAAATAAACAAACACTAAAAAAAAAAAAAAAAAAAAAGGAAATTTTTTTAATAGTTCCATGCAGGATTTGAACCTGGGCTTTCGTGTTATTCGCGTGGAGTGCTTCAGTGCTGCGCTATCGCCAGACAAGCCGCACTAGTCGATATAAGCAAATATCTCAGCATACCAACTGTATTAAATATTAAATTCTGTATACTTGTCTCATTTGCACACATTAAATTAACTGCAAGCTATTCCCATTGGCTAGTTAAATTTATACGTTGAACTGAAATGTAGATTTCTTAGATACAAAAGTAAAATATAAAAATAAATATATATAACATTTTAATAATTATAAGGATTTTTGATCATTTTTATTTAATTTATTTTCCCCTTTTTTTTACGGCACAAATAACATAATTTAAAGTTTTAACAACAGTAACGCTTGCAATAAAATTTAAAATGAATGAAAAATGTTTTAATTTGGCCATATTCTTATTGATTTTTTAGATTATATATATATAAAGTTGCTCTTATACTATGCTATTCTAATGTTGTTTATCTTTCGTGTTGATTTTTTGTTTGTTTGTTTTTGCTTTCTTTTTTTAGCTTTCATTTACCTTGACCTATTTTAGCCCTTTCGGCCGCGCCCAGATCGGTTAACTGTTGGCGGGACTGCTGTTGTTGTTGTGGATGGTGTAGCTACAGTGCTGGGGGCACCGAGTAAGGTCATGTCATTGCTTAAGCTATCCATCAATAAATCGACCACCGTCATATTCGAGTTACCATCTCCGTCGCCCTTGTCCGTTGGAATGCTGATCTGGAACTGCAGCAGCACTACCAAATAGGTGACCATAGTGGTTAGCAGACCCTTGAATAGAGTACGATTTACATCAAAGAAGCCGCCACAATTAATATTCGAAGGATTCATTTCGGTGGCACGCAGAAACATATTAATCTCTGTCTGGGCATCCGAATTCATCCAGTTGAGTTCGACCATCAGGAGTTTCTTTTGGAAATTCGTTCGGACATTCACCGACGCATAATGCGCTTCATCACATATGTAGAAGAGTAGACCTATATTCCAAAGAGCCGTTATGGTCAATCCAATATCCTTGATGCCGAATCCCTCTGAAAGCTGTGACATAAGTCCATAAATCGACAAAGTTATGATAAAGAACAAATAGAGACTCATGAACACAAAAGTGTAGCATAGAGCATTGCCTGTATCGCGGGTCAGCTTGCTCAAACGTAGCCAGAGGACACGATAATCAGCCACCATGGCAGCCGGGCCAATATGCTTCAAGGCCTTCTGGAAACGTTCCGCCAACAGATACGCCGTGGTGCTGATTGCCTCGCAGATGAGAAACCACCAGGCGCCCAGCATGGCTGTTAGGTTGTCCAATATACAATACGGCACCACCTGGTTGAGATTCAAATCCGACATTGTTATGTGTGTGATAACGACAGAGAGTATCGAAAGTATGGGCAGCACGATGGCAATATAGACCGCCTTCTGGCGCAGATTTAATGGCAAGCTGTGACCAGAGATTTGATAGTAGAGCACTTCAAAGTCATCCCAGTCATTGAACAATCGAGCGATCTTCCTTGCCTCCCACCAGAGAATCGGAATAACGATAATTGGTAGGATGTTCACCAGGAATAGGTACGCAATGACGGCCTCCTCGAAGGGTCCACTAAGGGAGCGCACAGCATGAATACGTTTGTTGGCCACATAGCCCACATAGAACTGAATTGAATGATTAATCCATAAACTGTTCATTTTCACAGTTGAAAAAAAACTCACCGCTAGCAGCATAAAGAAAACAACGGAATAAATAAAAGCAGCTGAATTAAGAGCAAATTTAGCTCGCGAAGGACCTCGTCGTACCATGGGCAGGACGCCAATGATGCGCAGAAACCAATTAACCGGGGCGATATTGCGATAGAAAACGCTCTTGGAAAATAAACTACATTAAAAATTGGAATTTAAAGACAATAATTTCTTGCCTACCGGTGTAAAATCTGGATTATTGGAGGCAATTGTGCTGACTGAGCTTCGTTTTCCATCATTGGGTGGCGGTATATAATCACTGTCCAAACGCTCAGCCAATCCAATGGAATATTTCCGTACGCCATGTAAATAGGCCTGTGCATTTCCACTGTTTATGGGCTTGGCATTCAAGAATACCATGTCCGGTTTCTTGCGTCTATAATAGCTGGCCATTGTTCTTGAACTGTGAGTATTTCGATACGTTGGCCAGCGCCTTGGGCTCAGTCATGGTTATTAAAAATGCATTTAACCTCACCCTCTATTTGTTTCTTATTGTTTGCATTGCGAGACCAACTTGAGTTTCCTGTTGATTTCCTTTGTTTAACTTCTGCATGCATTAACCTTAACCAGGTGCCCTATTTCAAATTTATGTCAAAGCGCGCCTAAATTATTTTTAATTTGTTACCCAACACTGTTCAGATTATCAGATACCGCCTCAGCTTAAACACTTCCGATAATGATATAAATGTCATGGCGAAATAACTTAATGTTTAAGTCACTGTTATTTTCAAATTTAATATTTATTTAGTCATTAATTACAGCGATAATGCTGAAAGCTTTGCGTTGAAATCATTGCCCCAATAAAAGGTATAAGTACCATCGATTACAACGAATACTATCGAATAAATTGTAATTATCGATGCATTGATTCAAGTACATCGCTATACTTCTAGAACTTGCAAAACGTAAGGCTGGTAAAACAAAAAAATAAAATTGCATTGCAAAAATGGTTGACTACAGCAAGTGGAAAAATATTGAGGTGAGTGCAGCTAAAGTAAATCTGATAAATGTATTGAATGTATTCGTAATTGTGTACAGATTTCCGACGATGAGGACGAAACACACCCAAATATAGACACGCCTTCGCTTTTCCGCTGGCGGCATCAGGCTCGAGTCGAGCGAATGGCCGAAGCGGAGAAGGAAAAGGAAGAGTTGAAGAAAAAAAGACAAAGCTTCCAGGCGCGTCTAATGGATGTGAAGGAGCGCATCAGCAAAAAGGAGGGTGACGAGGCAGCTCTTAAGGTAACTAAGAGACCTGCTGTCAAATTGTGCATTACTAATGCAGATAATATTACAGCTTGAATTAGAGAAGATCGAAAACGAGGGCAAGGCGCTCGATCGTGAGGAGAACGAGCTGCTGAAGAAAGAGAAAAAAATGCCATGGAATGTGGATACAATAAGCAAACCAGGTTTCGAAAAGACGGTGATCAATACGAAGCCTGCACGCTCTGCAGATGAAAACCTGACCGAGGAGGAGCGCGAGCAGCGCATGAAACAGTTCGTCAAAAAGAATGAGCAACTGTGCAAGCAGTACGGTATGCTGCGCAAATACGACGATTCCAAGCGCTTCCTGCAGCAGCATGTGGAGCTGGTGTGCGAGGAGACAGCAAACTATTTGGTCATTTGGTCGATCAATCTGGAAATGGAGAAGAAGCATGATCTGATGGCTCATGTGGCGCATCAGTGCATCTGCATGCAGTATATATTGGAGTTGGCTAAACAGCTTGACCGCGATCCGCGCGCTTGCTTCAGCTCGTTCTTTTCCAAAATCCAACAGTGTGATCCTGAGTACCGTGCGCAGTTCGAAAGTGAAATTGAGGGCTTTAAGGAACGCATTCAAAAGCGAGCACAGGAGAAGTTGCAGGAAATCATTGCCGAGGTAGAAGAGGAAGAGAAACGTGAACGCCTGGGACCAGGCGGTCTAGATCCTGCCGATGTCTTTGAATCCCTGCCAGATGTACGTTTAAAGAGAAAGTTCTACAATAGAAACTTCTAGAATATCAATTCTTTCCTTACAGGAGCTCAAAGCTTGTTTCGAGTCACGCGACGTTGAGCAACTGCAGAAGATTATTGCCACCATGCCGGTGGAGGAAGCTAAGTATCATATGAAACGTTGCGTGGATTCTGGTCTCTGGGTACCAAATGCTGCCGACGCGACTCAGGAGGACGATGAAACAGAAGCAAAGGCCGACAATTCGGCTGACACTGCAAAACCAAAAACAACAGAGGATGCAACAGAGAAGGATAAGTCCAAATCTGGCAAGGAGGAGCCGATATATTCTGGCGTCAGCACCAATGACCTCGACTGATCCGTTCCATCAGCGCTCTTGTTGATTGTTTACACTATAAGTTTAATTTTAATATAAATCTGCCTCCCCCCACTACAAGTTGATCAAGTTCAGTTTGTATATACATTGAGAAACGATACCTCAAATCAAATTCTCAGTAAACTGTGCGTGCATTTTCAAATAATAACCAAGCTATCCACTAACATAAACTCAGATAATAAAATTCGTTTTATTTATTTTAACTATCTAATATCTATTGAGTATGAATCGTCCCGAGCTGGACTATTACGCCGTGCTGGACATTCCACGCAATGTCACCAAAGAGCAGATCACCCTGGCATATCGACGCATGGCTGTGCGCTTGTGTCCACACAGAGATAAGAAATATGAGCTGGATTTCGTTCCACTGGCCCAGGAGGGCAGATTGACGCATTTGTCTCCAATGGCGGAGACCAAGCAGTGGGCGTACATCAATATGGCATATGATGTGCTGGGCAACGAGCTATATCGTGCCATCTATGATCGCTATGGTGAGGCAGGCCTGTTTGAGGGCGTGATGCTGCCGAATGGCTACTTTCCACCATATCAATACCATGGCGATCACATGGAGGTGTACGAGCGTGTATTCTCCAGCTATTCGCCGTATGCGAATGTTATTGATGCCATTACGAATCCACCAAGCTTGTATGCCACGAGGGAACATGGCGTGGGAGTGCGACATAAGGATGCCAATACGGAACGCATTATACATTTATCATTGGAGGAGGTACGCACGGGTTGTGTGAAGTTGATGCATGTGTGGCGTCAGGAGATTGTCGACGCTAGGGAGTCCCGTCTGGAGAAACGCAAGCACACACTTAAGCTCATCATACAACCGGGCACCACGGCCGGTACACGCTATTGCTTTAAGGAGGAGGGTGATCGCTATCCAACGACCATCCCTGGTGACATTATATTCATTGCCGCCGACAGGCCGCATCCGACATTTGAGCGGCGCAACATGCATGACCTGGTCTATCGCTATGACATCAATCTGGCTCAGGCTTATACGGGATTCATATTCTACGTGAATACCCTAGACAAGCGACAGTTGAAAATCGTCATCTCAGATGTGGTTACTCCGGGCTACCAGAAGATTGTGCCACTGGAAGGGCTGCCCAAGTGCCGTAATTTGGATGCTGTGAATGCAATCAAGCAAGCTAATAAACGAATTGAGGAGTTTGGTGATCTCATAATAGAGTTTAATTGTAAATTAGTTAACAAAACTAGTAAACAAACAGCTAACTGGTTAACGGTCTATTTACAGATATATTTCCAAGATATTTGACACCACAAATGAAGAAATTGACACGTGAGTTCTACCAAGAGTTTCGTAAATTGGAAATGGAACTGGAGGAGGAAGAGCGCATGCAGATGCAGGGTACATAATATTTTAATTAATTTATTGTGGAAATAAAAATTGTCTGTAGTTCAGCGTGAGCAGCATACTAAGTCTGAAGTATCGGTGTCGCGTTATTATGGTATCGAGTAGCTCAGTACATATCGATAGGTTATTCATTTTTACGAACAGGTAAAACACAGCATAATTAAAAAACAGCAAGTAAAACAACAAAGAATAATAATTTGTGCTAAATAACAAGTAGATAAAATTGTGTAACCATTGCAATTTGCTTAAATTCACCTTAAGCTCAACTAAAGCATCAATAAATTGCTCAATTCGAATCAAGCAAAGCGATATTTTGCTGCATAATTCAATTACTGACACCTGTGCAGTACGCCCCTCCCCCACTCTATCAAGTTTGATACGGAAATTCCAGCGCTACGCTCGAGTGCAAGTGGAGGCTGGCTAGCTGACCGCACCCACAATTAACGGTACAAAATGCACCTGAGTGCCGATATTTCCAGTGCCCTACAGCAAATCGAGGCTGTGAAAAAGGGCATTGACGAATCGGAAGATGCCAAGCTGCAAATGCAAACGGCGGATAGTTTAAATACGATAATGGGTATATTAACGGATCCCGTTTTTCGTACCATTGCCCATGTTCAGGAGTCATTGTACGAGCTGGGCATACAGCTTGGCCAACATCCGTCCATGTTGCCGAACGACTTCGACATTGATGTTTCAGGAAATTTGGTGCTCAGCCTGAATGGCGGCGATGTCATGTACGATTCGTCTGCCCCGGCCAGTCCGGACAAGTCCAGTTCCACGGGTGGCGACGTGGAGCAACGTCCACAAAGTCAAAATTCCAAGTCAGCTGCTGCGGATCTGTATGCCACAGACTATGCCCAGATCCAGGCCATTGAGCTGGTCAACGACGGCACAGGTCTAGGCTTTGGCATAATTGGTGCACGCAATTCGGGCGTTATTGTAAAGACCATTCTGCCAGGGGGCGTGGCCGATCGTGATGGTCGCCTGCGCTCTGGAGATCACATTCTCCAGATTGGCGATGTGAACCTTCACGAGATGGTCTCTGAGCAGGTAGCCGCAGTGCTTCGACAATCGGGCACCCATGTACGTCTTGTTGTGGTGCGTCCGATTGAGCAAAACTTGCCTACGCCACAATATGCCTTGGAGCCGGGCAGCGCCGTGGTGCCGACGCGTGTGCTCAGCGATCCTGCCGAGCTGGAGCGTTATCTCATATCAACTGGCTACCCGGAGATATTTGGCGAGAGCTCGACGGCCTCAACGCCACAAACCACGACGGAGGATGAGCGTTTTGTGTATCGTGGTGAGACATCGATGCTAATTGATCCCAGCATCGATTTGGACGAACTGCTGGCCTTGCCGGAAACAGAGAAACTGCAGGTGGAACTAAAGAAGGATGCGAATGGTCTGGGCATCACCATTGCCGGTTATGTTTGCGAAAAGGAAGAACTTTCCGGAATCTTTGTAAAGAGCGTATCTCCAGGCTCAGCGGCTGATCTGAGCGGACGCATACGCGTTAACGATCGCATCATCGAGGTAGATGGCCAATCGCTGCAGGGCTATTCCAATCACCAGGCTGTGGAGCTGCTTAAAAAGTCTGGTCAAGTGGTAAATTTGCGGTTAGAGCGTTACCTACGCGGCCCCAAATACGAGCAACTGCAGCAAGCCATTGCTGCCAATGCCAACGAAAAGCTGCCTACCAGTTCACCAGGCACGCCCTCTCGTGCTCCCTTGCCCCCACCCCCAGCCACGCCTTCGTCTACGACAGTTAGCAGAGAGGCAGAGGATGAGACGCTGCCTGCGCCGGAAGCCTTTATGATGACCACGCCGCCTTCGAGCTCGCTGGCTACAACCACCACGCTGAGCAGCTTTGGTGCGGGCAAGCAGTTGTTGGCCGTGCGGGATTCCCTAGAAGGAGCGTCTAAGATTGTGGCCACAGACGTTGTAGCTGATAAGCAGGAAGTACTTATACACATACAAACTTTATACATATTAGATGTCTCATTTCTATCCCTGTTCGCAGGCAGCTGTACACGCAAAGAACTCGAGCCTTATAACACGCCATAAGTACTACATGGAGCCAGAGCTGACCGAGGAAGTGGAGGCGGAGATCGTACGCAAATGGCAAAAGATAGTGGGCAACGATATGGAGGTGATTGTGGCGCAAATTAAAAAGTTTGCCGTTGGTGGTTTGGGCATCTCCTTGGAGGGCACCGTCGATGTGGAAGGTGGCCGAGAGGTGCGCCCACATCATTATATACGATCCATACTGCCCGATGGGCCGGTCGGAGTGAATGGCGTACTTCGCTCTGGCGATGAGTTGTTGGAGGTTAATGGCGAGCGACTGTTGGGCATGAATCATCTGGAAGTTGTGGCCATATTGAAGGAGCTGCCATTGGATGTGCGTATGGTGTGTGGACGCAGCAAGGTGACTTCGCTGCTGCCCTTCTCCGATGATACGCTCAAGAAGCTGAGCAACAACTTTGAGAATTTACTGCCGGCCACAGATCGTCTGGTCAAGGCCAAGTCCGATGGCAGTCTGGCCACAGCTGGCTCCGTGGCGGACGCGGATTCAGTGGCCGTGGCAGCTGCGTCTTTTAACAAATTGAAATCTCGTTCTCTGGAACCGCTCACCGGCTTGGCCATGTGGTCGTCGCAGCCGCAGATTATAGAACTAGTGAAAGGGGATCGCGGCTTGGGCTTCTCTATATTAGATTACCAGGATCCATTGGACTCGAACGATACACTGATTGTCATCCGTTCGTTAGTCCCTGGTGGCGTGGCTCAGCTGGATGGCAGGTTAATACCGGGCGACCGTTTGCTATTTGTCAACTCGATTAATTTGGAGAACGCTTCGTTGGATCAGGCTGTGCAGGCCTTAAAGGGTGCACCCAAGGGCGTGGTACGCATTGGTGTGGCCAAACCGCTGCCCATGACGGATAATTCCCTGAAGGCGTGCAGCAATGCCAGCACCACCAGCGAAGAGACGTTGGATGCGCAGCAATCCCCACCAGCGCTGCCCACAGCAGCGCCTCCAACAGCCGTCAAGGGCGCAGAGCCGGATCTTATACCCGACTGGAGGAAGTAAATGCTGCCGATCAAAAGCTGTTATTATTATTATTATATTTGTATTAGACAAACAATTATGTTATGCACCAATTGTGTTGACCAGAGCCGCCAAAGGAAGCGCGGCTCGGCTTGTCCCCAATCATGGACAGCTGCATTCCCAACAATCGCAATATTTTCATTCCCGTTGGAGTATTAGTTAAGTGTGTGTGAATTTAATGTACTTACAACTAAATAAATTATGCAAATCGTTTACAATATTAGTCAATTCGTATCGTATATGTTTCTATATACAGTGTGATGAGTATCCATTAAAATGGCTGATTGCTCGACTATTGCACCCGATTCAACTGTCGTTCGATGCGCATATAGTTGCGCCTGGAGAGCACACGATCCCTGGCATAGCTCACCAAATAGCTGAGCACTCCGAACACGAATGCAATAGCTTCGAACTTGATGAAATTGCGCTGCTCAATGAGAGCCACTCGATCGCAGCTCTTGGTCACAATTTCGCCGCTCTTGCAGCGCAGCACCTCCTTGTAGTGTGTGTGAATGCAGACGCCAAGACTGCGACTCACAATATCGAACTCAGAGCAGGGATGACACTCCTGGACAACGGTGTAGGTCTCGTGTTTCCAGCAGGTCGAATTATTTTCGATGACATACTTCTCGCCACGACGTCGAGCCAAGCTGCCCTCTGCTGCATAGCGGGACTCAATTATTAGCACTAGTATGGTGACTAGAGTCAGGGCGGTAAGGCCCAATACCATGTGATGTTTTTGGCAGTTTTCGAGCATATTCTGTTTACTTATAATGGCAAAAAGAAAATAAACTTAAATGAGTCAAGTTTGTTTTTACTTTCACAGCTGTTGATCTAGGGCTGCATACAGAGAGCCAGGCGATAGAAGTAAACGATACTTACCAATAGTGCGTGAGCAATAATTAAGCTTGGAACAAACTAAAACCACAACTAACAAATATTATTATTATTATTATACTACAAAATAATTCCTGAAACAAACATAAAAATATTCTCTAAACGTAGTTTGCAATTTTCTAAGCATCGACACTCGAACATCGATAACCATCGATAGTACAGGCTGTTTACGAAAAAGTAAAACATGCAAATGCCAAGGAAGGGACAGAGACCAAAACAATTACGAAGATAGCCACAAAGAGAAACGTGGAAAATTTATGAAAATCTGTGAAAATTGTGTGGTGGCGCATAGAAAATGGTGCTGCGGTCGGGAATTATAATTCCATTTCAATTTCGCGATACTAAGAAGCTGCTCATGATTGGCGTGCCCGAGGAGAATCGAAATTTAAACATATGGGACTTAAAGAATGTTGGTAAGCCTTCTTAACGGACAGTAGCAGGTGCTCATCGGTAGAGGGGGCGGGGGAGCATGGTACAGGAGGCAACAGCGCACGCTGCCACAGGCCCAGGGCAGGTCGTTAAACTTAATTGCTTTCAGAAATATGTGTGTATAAAGAGAGCAACACCCAAAATGCTTTTAAGGGCTGCAAACGCAGCATAAATTGTGATTTGGACATTGGAATTAAGCAATTTTCCCCCGTTTCCCGTTTAGCAACTATTTCTGATATCGTTTCGTTTTCAGTTCGCGCTGCATTTGGCATCTACAATTTTGAGTTTCGCAACAAAAAGATCGGCTTCAACATACCCGATGAGCTGCTGTTACATTATTTGGCCCAACGTCACGACCTCACAAATTTCGTTATTGAAATAAGCCAAGGTAATTTCATATAGCCATTTAAGTTAGCCGCGTTACAGAATAGCGTTTAAGCCTTTTAACAAAACTTGGAACCATTTACATACACATACATATATGTATGCATACATTTGTATGTGAAAAACACTATATGTGAATGCGAATGCATTTGTAGATCTATCTGTGTATATAGACGCGGCAACCGCTAAACGTGCTTTGCTTGTAAGTCTCTGACAATTGCACTATAATAAAAATCCACATTGAAAATGCTTCCTCTTGCAGCGCTAGACGATGGGCACGCCAAGGAGCTGCTCTCCTTCGAGCCCTCCTGCTCAATGGCAGTAATCAAGCAGCAACAGCAACAGCAACAACAGCAGCAGCAACAGCACCAACAACAACAGCAGCAGCAGCAGCTCCATCATCCACATCCAATACAACAGCACGTGCCACTGCCTCAGCGCTCCAACGAGAGTGTGAGCCACGCCCACGACTATGTGGCTGGCCCCCCAGCCTTACCCGGCTCACAGCCGAATTCGCCAGCTCTGGGCGTCTGCAATGAGGCAGTCGACTCACCATTGGAGCAGGCGAACAATTCGAACTCGGATCATGCAGACACAAACCAAAAGCTGCGGCTCACACAAACCTATGCGGAACGTACGCCCGAATCGTTAACACAATCAATAGATCCCATGGACATAATACCGAAGGCGGAGTCTGAATCAGAAGCAGAGCGTGCTGCACGTGCAGCTCGCTTTCAGGCGCGCGTACAACAACAGCAGCAGCAGGTGCATCAGCATCAGCAACAGGCACAAACACTGCAGCACTCGCTGCCTGCCCAGCAGTTCTTCTCCAACTATACGCACAGTCTGCCGACTATGACGCCACCAAATACTTCCCAACAGTCGCCGTACACGCCCGGACTGATGAGCCGATTTAGAAGTGAGTAGCAGCAGGTGATGGAGATGAATATATATATATATCTAAAACTGTTAATTTGCCTTTCAGAACGTGGCGAACGCATGTCCAAGGACCAAAAGGAACTGTACGTCAAGTTCTTCGAGGACAATCCCTGCATGCTGTCGAACCATCGTCGTCACGATGGCCTCACCGAGCCGCTGTGGAGCAAATTGGCGCACATGCTCAATAGCGTGCCACAGGGCGCTGTCAAGAATGTAGAGGATTGGAAGCAAACGTTCGATGCATGGCGATATCGCATTTTCATGTACACACGATACAACTCCAAGCTGAGCATGTCGGAGACGAGTGACCCTAAGAACTTTAAGCCGCTGACGGCGACCGACCAGAAGGCCTATGCTATGTGGACCAGTCACAAGCACATTGCACCGCCAGATTATGATAAAATGGATATGTTTGTGCCGCTGGATGAGAGCACAAGCGCAACGAACACCTACGACTACTAAGGCAGTCCACAAGTCCCCAACCAGTGCAAATGTTAATGATAATCAGAATGAAGATGATGTGTACTTTAACTAATACTAAGCGCTAAATACATTATGTTTAAGCAACATATATAATGCAATTTCAATTCATCTAGTTTCTATTTATAGACTTAAGAATGTTCATTTGTGTAAACCTTGTAACTAACATGATTCCTTTGCTTGCAGTGTACGACGGCGCCTTGGAGAACTATGTGCTTCATCCCCAATGTCGCTGCGGTGCTCAAAAGCTGCTCAACGAATCGCCCACGCCAGAGGAGCCCACAAATCTGTGCCAGAGCAACACTGTCATAGACGCTGTGCCCTCGTCGGCTACAATGACGCTGGATGATGAGCAGGAGAGTCTGAAGTACCGTATCGATAAGGCTAGTAGTGGTGCTGCATCTGCGGAGCTGGGCATGCCCGCCTATGATCCGTGCACACCCAAGATGGACTATGACACGCAAGACGAGTTGCCGGACTCGCCGCACTCGCCACAGCCACAACAGCAACTGCAGCAGCAAATGGTAACAGCGCCGTTGCCATTGCCACCACCGCCTTCACATATTCCGCATCATCATCAGCACGACGACGAGCAACAGCAGCAGCACCAGCAGCAGCAACAACAACAGCTGTTGCAGGAGCGCATACAGCATGAGTTCATGTTGCAGCAGCAGCAACAGCATCAGCATTTGCAGCAACAGCAACATTTGGCGCTGCTGCAACAACAGGAGCAACAGCAACAGCATCAGCAGCAACAACAGCAGCAACAACAACAGCAGCATCAACAACAAGGCGTCAACATGGCTTTAACCCCATCGGGCACAAATAACATTCGACGTACGTGAAAGCAGTTCTGAGCTATGCTCTAAATTTTACTCTATATTAACATATTTCTCTCTATCTCTCTCTCTCTCTCTCTGTTGTCCACAGAACGCAAGGAACGCATGTCAAAGCGCCAGAAGGAGCTCTACGTGCACTTTCTGCAACAGCATCAATTCATCAACGACCATCGACGCAACGATCCCGTTCTCGACCCGTACTGGCTCAAACTGGCAAATCTATTGAACGCCGTGCCCCAGGGCGCGGTCAAGCATGTGACGGAGTGGAAGCAGACCTTTGACAATTGGCGATACCGTATCTTTTTGTACGCGCGCTACAATTCGAAGCTGCAGGACGAGGAGGCACAGAATCCGCGCAACTTCAAGCCGCTGACACGCACCGACAAACAGGCGTACATTATGTGGATACGCAATCCGGACACTGCGCCGCCGGATCTAGACAAAATGCGTAATGTGTTCTGCAATCTGGAGGAAAGTTCGACGCACCAGGACTAAAAGCCAGCCGGTCTTTCAACAGGCCGGCTCATTCGCAAGCGCTTTCGCTAATTGCCATTGTTCTAGTTCATAAGAAATGGTTTTCTATATATGCATATATATATATATGTCTATATATATATCTATATATTGTTTTCATGTTAATTTTGTGTAATTTTATAACTGGAAATGCATTTTCTTTTTTTTTTCTTTGTTATGCTAATATATGTATAAATATATTGATTGAGTAAATTGTTTATGTTTAAGCTGCAAGTGTGTGGCAGGTGAGAAAAGGTAAATGATTTAGTAGTTGTATTTTGCAATATGCTATGCGAGGGCTGTCTGAAACATTTTCATGAAACGTGTTCTGTTCAAATGACTAAATACAGATTTTGTATGTATAGTGTAGTATCCGATGTCTATGTATATCCCTAGGACATGTTACTTGTATTAATGATATATCCAAAAACTTTCATCTTTAACAAATTCGAATGTGCTTCAACGTTATACATACTTAAGCAACAAATTAAGAAAACCTTAAGATGACAGCATGTAATCCCATGTTCTGTATCTCATACAGAGCCTTAAATTCGATTGCAATTCAGGCCCGTTTGCACTTTCAAACAACTTTCCCATAACGGATTGACAACAAAGCTTATGCAGGATAAGCAACCTTGAACCTCAATGGAGTCTTGGTCTGTCTGAGAGTAGAATGAATCTAAAGTTGACAAACTCCTTTCGATATGAATTGAGTAAATGTATTGTTGCTTGTAGAAAACATGCATATATATAGATATACATATATGTATGTGTATGACTTCCCTATCTGAGAAATACGAATCGAGATCTAGACACCTACGTCTATGTAGACTTCTTATGCGTTGATTAATTTGCTGCCCGCGGCGTACAGCATCCAATCTGTGGGTACTTGTCGCACATGCTTCGCCCGTTGCTGCGGCTGCTGCTGCTGCTGCTGTTGGAAACTAATCCGGCGATCATTAATTAACTGTTCAATCAAATCCGATACGCTCAATGCTGTTGACTGTCGGATGTTTTTTTCGCCTCATTTCATATATTTTGGGCGCTGCATAGAACCGAATCAGGTTTATTCACAAATCCGGCACTTAAATGCATATCAGCTAAGAAGAGTTTTGAATATGAATTTGCAAATATATAAGAAAATGTATGTGTATACATATATGGATATATTCAAGCATATGCAAATGGCATTTAGATACGTTGCCAGAGTCTTAAGCGTCTTTAGAGATATTTGTAAATTGGCTCATAAACTGCTCAGCTGTCCGGCCGTTTGTCGCTTATCTTGGCGTCGTCCGTTGCCAATTGCCATTACTAATAAAGATAAATGAATGTGCGCTCATTAAATAAAAGGCATTGAGCTGGCTCTCTGCACCATGAACGGCCAGCATCAACTACATATCTGACTGGGGCTGTCATGTCGATATCTATTCCAGATCTGTAGCACTCAGTCAAGCGTTCAAGATCAATAATATTCTCGGCATTAGCACATTCAGCATTCAATATTGCAAAACTGTAGGCCGTGCCAGCTGACAGCCTCAGCTGGGTGGCTTTGCACTTATAAATTATGACAACTGGGCCCAAGCAATGCTAACTGCAGTAGCCATGATGTAACCCTATATAGAGCACATCGAGGGAGCGTTAATGATCTTGCGGTTTGCATACGAGCTGCGACTTGAGGACAGTCCACCAGCGCCAAGTCAATGCCAAGGCAAAGTAAGCATTTGTGTCTGACTTAATTAAAGATCTTATCTAAAATACTTTGTATATGAATAATAGACTTATTTCAATATTAATTATAGATATTATTTTATGTGTCGTTACAGCTATATTTCCATTTCTTCCGTTTCACAATGTGCTTAATATGTAAATATTATTTCTATAGACTCGCAAGCTCATCTCCACGTTATCTTATCTTATCTCATGCTAGGCTTCGATTTACGCAATGGGCGGTAAAATCATACATAGATATCTGTCTGTTATCTGTCAACTTATCAGAGCTGACAAAAATGATAATATTATTTGAATTATAAATATGAACGAGGGTGGTCTGAAAAATTGTTGACCTTATCTTAGCTATAAATAATTCAATATATTAATAATACATTTGTTTTGGATGTCGAATACTTTAGATCAACAATAAAGATTTTCCAATTCTTTGACACAATATACTCTATATATACAAATAAATATAAATATTTATACTTTGTCTTATCCACCATCAGATGTCTGCTTAATCAATGCCAAGGACAAAATGCATAAAAGCTTTGCACACAGCTCAATTTTAGCTTAAGGTTTCCTATTATAGTTTTTGGGTAGATAATTAACAGCTAAACTAGTTTACTCAAAATGTTTTGAGCATAGCTAATATATGTATGTATATATAGCTTAGTTCTTATATTTGATACATAATTAGCTCAGCAGACATCATAAGTATCATCTGAATCCATATCATATAATTTTAGACAATATACTAAATTGAGCCTCAATACACGGAAACTGAAGAAACCTATATCATATCATACCATATACCCCCCTCAGCATTCCTATCACGCATAGCCAAGACTTTCTATATAAATTGATAGTCAATCAGTTATTTATTAAGTTATTGCTTCAATCTCTAAGCATCTCTTAGAAACCGCATTAGCCGCCGTTTTGCCTCAAAGCGCATTTTAGCCCCTCTATCAAACTCGAATTCTTGCTCTCTGCAAAGCCTTGGCTTGCCTTAGCCAATCTTAAGCTATAAATTAGCCAGCCTGTCACTTTCGATAGTTTACAAAAATTACCATCAGATTATGCGAACGCCGAAAAAATTCTCCCACACTCTCCAAGAGCCGAAAAAAATATCAAGCAGTAGCTGCCACTTGTACGGCCCACAAAATCATCAGATCAATCATAAGCACGAGAAAAAAATCAAATGTGCTGTAAATTAAAAAAAAAAATACTAAGAAGAAAAACGATAAAAAGACCATAAATGCGATAGAGATCTTTTGTAAGACCTGTTTTGTACATGGCCCGCCCCGACATAAAATCAACTTGTCAAGCCAAAGCGTTTTAAGCAGACATTTCTGTTGATTTACTATTGGAACCAAATACACACTCGCATAATTGCAAAAACTTGTGTATGCTAATCGATCGTCCGCCTGGCTGATATGGCTTTTTAATTAGATTTACATTTTAATTATAGCTGTTTTAAGTGCCCTGAACCTGAGGCAAATGCATACGGAATTATGTATGGAAACCATTTTTGGAAAGTTCAACTAAGACTTTGATTTACGATGAGGAAATACAAATTGAGATGAGCTGAACATAATAAGAATTTGAATATAGATATTAAATGTACATATATGTGTATATAGGTATACATACATCTTGTCTTTAGTTATAGAATCAGCGTGGCTTATATTCCAATTTAGGCTCAGCCTTCAGGCAGGGCGTGCAGTCTAGTATACAAAGATAACGGGTTATATATATGTGATATATCCACATATAGGCATATATGTGTGCTATATATAAACAAGTGTATATCAAGTTTCAATGTCGCTCACGTAATGTCAACTTAGGCTAAACGTTTTGGCCATTAAAGAGGTCAGGGCTGTTCACTGGCCGAAAGCACATGTATATATACCATATATTGATATACTGTAATCCTGCTGTGATGTGCTTCATTAAAAGTATTTCCAGAAATGTAAAAAGCATTAACATATTTGATGCAAAGGAACTCCAAAAATTTATCAAGAGCTGCGTAAATTTGGATA